CCATTTAGTTTGAACTAACAGTTATTTGACAGTTCTAAACAAGCATTTCAAGAATGAAATGAATGGAATGAAATTCGAAAGTGAGATGGTAAATATCACGTTACCATTGAACATTTCAACTTTCTTGAAAACCAATTCAATCAAGTCACCAATCAAGTATAGATGGAATATTCAAAAAAATACAGATACCATTGCAATTTTAAAGCAACCTGGAAAGATGATATCTATCAATTCAGTTGTAAATAGTTTACAACTTGATCCTTCACCTCAATCTTATTCGAAATACTTATTCGACATTGAGATGAAACAATACGACAGTCAGGCAACTTATGTTTGTGCTAACATTGGATCAGCATCACTGGAAACTGATTGTGCCATTTCTATCAAGAATAATCAAATAGCAACTTGTGAATGCTCTACATTAGGATATAATCTTGCAATTCTTGAATACAAATCAATTGAAACTGCATCAACCTCCTCTTCATCAAATTCAAATATAATTGTCAAAAAACCTGCAACTAGCAATCCATTAATGTGGTTATTAATGTTACTAGTCCTCATTCCACTAACTGCCCTACTAATTGCAGTAATTATTTGGTTTGTAGTAAAGAAACTCGGTAAAGATAAGAACAATACAAGAAATTCACACTCATACATGCAAACACAAGAAAGCAGTTCTACGATTGAATTGAAGCATGTTTAATCTCTCTCTTTAAATAAATACCTTTGTATATTCCAACCCAAATATGTGTTGCTGAATTAATAAATACATGTTTTTATTTGATGAATAGACAGCTTCTTCATGATCACATTTTGTGCAATTTACTGTAAAAAGAAAAAGGGAAATTAACGTGTATCCAAAAAGATATAACATTCTAAACTTTCTAACAACATGTTCATATGTTGCACGGCCGTACGAAAGCTTCATCTGCTCAAATTCTTGAGAGTACATGTATTACTACGTTTTCTGTAAATCTTGACTGGTCTATCTTCTTATCTATCAGAAACGAGCTTGTCGAAAGTTGGCGGAGAGATTTCTCTTA